GACATTGAAAGACTTAAGAACTTTGATCGAAGCAATGACCAGCCACCTCCCCAGGGGACCCGTGTTAGAGCATTTTACCTACCTCCTGACAGAGACATAAATATCTTTGAGGTTATCCAGTTTGGAATTGTGTCCAGACTCTTTTAAAAGTGTTGAAGGGAAGGATTCAAGATGGGGAAGGAGACATACATTTTTGGTCACGGCCACTGTGTAAAAATGTTTTGCTTAACTAGGCTTATTTATTACAAGGTTTTTTCCCCCCTTGTCCTCAGATACTTTCATAGGAGGTGAGGAAGTTGGGGACTTATCAATAGTGATGTCAAAGAGAAAATAGGTACAAAAAAATTTTTAATTAAACAAGAACAGTGATGTAAAAAGAAAACCACCATTGAAATGTTTCCAAAAATGTGCAGAAGAAAACAGGACGTTCAGAAGGAAGCATAAACACAGGACAGTTTTGAAAATAGCATTTGAAATTTGTTATATACTTTGAAAAGAAAAGCAAATGGTACAAAGTGGAGACTTTTAGTTTCATGTGGAATTAATTCTCTTTCTGCCTTCTGTATGTATACAGATGCTTTTGGGGGGTTTACATTTTAAAAATAAAATTTGGAAAAAAAGTCATTGGTGACCTTGGGGAGAGCATGGTCAAAAAAATCAAGGAAAGGGTAGAAGTCAGATTATAAGGGTTCGAAGATTGAGGAAGTGGAAGCAAAGAGCATAGACTCCTCATTTTACAACTTTATCAATCAGCAGGGAGAGACATAGGACAAAAGCCTAAGAGAGTAACAGGGCCAAGGAAAGGCTTTTTTTTTTTTGACATTATGAATGAATGACAAGCATTTATTGAACACTTGTTATTATATAGTAAGCACAAGTATGATTTTCACAAGTACAGGGCCTTCTATGGCTAATTTGAAGAACAATACTCTTTGATGTGTACAAGTATGTTCTGGTAAGTTTGTTCAAAATCAGTGTCATATACTTTATAGAAACCAATTTTGCCCTGAGCCTATTTGTAGACCAAAGAGGAAGTGTCAATAAAAGGAAGAGAATCAAGAGTCATGAGAATGTAGAAGTGGTTGAAAAGGATCTAGGAGGAAATGAGGCTGGATCAGATGAAGGGCTGAGTTGAAGGATTGGCGCTGTCCAGGAAGAAGTCTCCTTTAACCTGGAGATCACAGAGAAGGTAAAAAGAATAATAACAACAATCATAGCTGACATTTACACAGTCTTTAAAGCTTGCAGAAGACTTTACATATAGTATTCTCATTAGGGTATAGAAGGAGAGAAGAGGAGGGAACTCAAAACAGATAGCCTTAATCTCCTGAGTAAAGTAGGCAGTGAGGTATCTGCTTAAAATATGTCATATGGGGGCCAGTCGAGAACTTGAGAGTAGAGGTTTGACACAACTTCTATAGGGAAGATGATAAGCAGCCAATTAGAGATGAATAGAAGGATTTCCTTGCAGCTGCAATGGGCATAGTTGGAGTGCCATAGAATGAATTTGTTGTGGGCCCAAACAGCTCACTTTAGAGCTTCTAGTTGGACTCAGATGCTCTGGATTAGGAGTGGAGAAGGTAAATAGTGGTAATGACTCAATTCAAGAATATCTTGAGGATAAAAGATACAATGGTGGAGGACAGTGAATTACTACAACTCTAGGGCTAAGACTGAAGAGAAGGAAGTGAAGACAGAACAGGGATCCTGGACTAAGAAATCAGGGATGAATTGTGTGCAGGAGGTATATGAAGGTAAAGAGCAGGTTCAGAAACAGTGAATGAGGACACAAAAGAAACAAAAGGACTAAAGTTTATAGTAACATTTCTGTATTACTTAAAGTTTGCAAAGCACTTTGCATACACGATCTCATTCAGTCTTCACATCTCTAAAAGGCAAATACTATTACTATCCCTATTTTACAGATAAAGAAACTAAGGCTCAGAGAAGTGCCCATGGTCCTACACTCACAATCCAAAATTCTTCCTGCTATGCCACTTTGCCTTTAATGTAACATGCTTATGGTGACATAACTAATAAATGGAATAACCTGGGTTTTCCATCTTCTTTTACTACTCTGAAATGCAGAGATGAGTCACCACTTCTTTGTTTCTCCTAGCCATTCCTCTTATCCTGCTTCTGGATCCCATGCTGACTGAACCCTTTTGATAAGGTCTTTAAGACTTCTGGATTAAACTTTTCACATGAGAACAATCCGCTCTGAATCTGATGATCAAATTCCACAGATAAGCCAAAACATTTTTATCCTATTCTACAGAAGCAACTATGGTATAATGAAAATAACACTAGATTTGAAGTTATAAGAAGAGGATTTGTGTATTAACTGCAACATTTACTAGTTGTGTTAGTCAAGTTAAGAAAGTCAGCATGGTGCTATGGAAAGAACACTAGATTTGGTACCCTAAAGAGATCAAAGAAAAAGGAAAAGGGCCTATATGTACAAAATATTTATGGCAGCAATTTTTGTGGTGGAAGTTGAGGGGATGCTCATCATTTGGGGAATGACTGAATAAGCTGTGGCGGGTGATTGTGATGGAGTACTATTATGTTATAAGAAATTGTAAGGGGAGTGGTTTCAGAAAAACATGGCAAGACTTACATGAACTGATGTAAAGTGAAGTGAAAACTGGAAGATCATTACAGCAAAGTTGTAATGATGATCAACTATAAAAGCCTTGGCTACTCTGATCAATACAGTACTCTGATCCAAGACAATTCCCAAAAGACTCATGATGGAAAAAAAATGCTTGAAGTATAATTTTCTTTTTTTAAAAATTTTTGTCTTTTCTTTTCTTTTTTTATAATGTGGTAGCTAGGTGATGCAATGGATAGAGTATATGGCCTGAAGTCAGGAAGACTCATCTTCCTGAGTTCAAATCTGGCCTTAGACACTTACTAGTTGTGTGACCCTAGGCAAGTCACTTAACCCTGTTTGCCTCAGTTTCCTCATCTGTATAATGAGTTGGAGAAGAAAATGGCAAACCACTCTAGTGTCTTTGCCAAGGAAACCCTAAATGGTGTTACAGAGTCAGACATGACAGAAGACAAATAGTATGGAAATGTGTTTCACATGATTTCACGTGATATCAAAATTGTTTGCCTTCTCAGTGGATGGGGAAGTGGTGGGGGGAGGGAGAGAATCTAGAACTCAAAATTTAAAAGGGAAAGAAAGGAAGAAAGAAAGGAAGGAGCGAACACTAGATTATGAATTTTATGAGATGATTCAAATTCCAACTATGCTACTTACTACCTGTGTGACCTTATATAAACAACAACCCTCAGGCCTCGGTTTCCTCCTCTGTAAAATAAGGGGTTTGAAATTAGATCATCGCTAAGGTCCCTTCTAGCTCTAAATTGACTGTCTTATGATCTTTAAAGTGAATAAGTGTGAGCTGTTTTTATTTTCCCACTAAGCTGATGACTAGAGTCACTTCCATAGAGTTTATGAAGACTTAAGAGCTAATAAATGTCTCCAAAGTGAGGAAAGTGAAACTAAACAAGGGTGAATCAAACAATGGGAATCCACTAATTGGATTCTCATCCCCTGAACAACAGAGAATGGTCTGTAAAAGTGGGAAGTCCAGTTACAGTTAGAATGAAGAAAGATTGAAGTCAACCAGTCAGTTCTCTTCTCCTTACTTAAATTTTTTGTTGCTATCTTTTGTTTTTATATCACCTTCATTTCTATACATATCCCTTTCCTTTCCCCTATCCAGAGAGCCATTCCTTATAACAAAGGATAAAAAAGAGCCCCCCCCAAAAAAAAGTAAAACCAACATAGCCACTCAGCCCAACAATATACACAATGTTCTCTTCCCACACTCTTCCACCTCTTCAAGTGAAGGGAATGGTACATTTTCTTATCTCTTCTTAGGAGTCAATCTTGGTCATTATAATTATAATTAGTGTTCAGTTTTTTTGTTATTGATATCAATTTTTCATTCACATTGTCATAAAGTCATTGTGTATCTTGTTTTCCTGGTTCTGTTTATTTCACTTTCATCAGTTCATAAAAGTCTCCCCATACTTTTCTACAATCTTTTACTGAGTTGTTTCTCACAGTGCAGCAATATTCTATCACATCCATGAAATACAATTTGTATAGCCATTCCTCAGTCATCTACTTTGTTTTCAATTCTTTGCACTTCAAAAAGTTGTGCTATAAATATTTTGGTGTATATAGGACCCTCCTTTTTACCTTTTACACCCTTGGATATAGTCCTAGCAGTGGAATCTCAGGCCCCCTAGGGTATAGACATCTTGGTCAGTTTCTTAGCACAATTTTAAATCATTTTCCAGAATGGAACAATTCACAGCCACCACCACCAGCACCAGTGTATCTTTTGTTCTACAATCTTTTCAACATTGACTATTCCCACTTTTGCCATCTTTGCCAATTTGGTAGATATTAGTTGCTTTACATTATAATTACATTATGATTTACATTAATGTACATTTACATTAAATCTTTACATTATTTTACATTTATTATTTGGAGCAATTTTTCATATGCTTGTTAATAGATTGCAGTTCTTCTTTTGGTATCCTTTTCATGACTAATCCTTTGGGGAATGACTCATGGTCTTATATATTTGTGTTAGCTCCTCATATATCAGATATCAGACCCAAATCAATATTTGATGTAATTTTTTTCCCATTTCATAACTTCCCTTTCAATCCTAGTTTCATTAATTTTGATCATGCAAAAGCTCTGAATTCTTTTAAAGGCACCCTAACACAATTCCAAAGTGGATAATCTAAAAACTATTTCTAAATGGTTTTGAAATGTGTCATGTGGTGGGGAAACAGCATATCTACCTTCCTGATTCCACTGAGCTCAGGCACACATTGGATTCCTGTGGATAGCACAGTGGGGGCAGTGAAGTATGGATAGGAACAGAGGGAAATCTAGCTGGGCAGGGGTCATTCACCATCCGGTTCGTGATTAAGAGACATTAAAACATCTCATGTTTTTCCAGGTGCTGCAGAAACTGGGGAAAATAGCAGAAACCAAAGATGAACGCTTTGAACAGGCTGCCCAAAACTTCCACCAGCAGCAGGTGAGTGATGATCAGGGGAGGAAGAAGGCCATGACGTCCCAGTGGCCACATAGAACAGGTAGGGATCCTGGATGAAGAAGGACAGGGACCATGTCTACCAAGACTTCCACCTCCCCAGGGGAAGGGACACTCTGGTAACTCTCTACCTCCCTCAGAGACAAGAGGAACTTCATAGGATCATAGATTTAACCAATCAATCAATAAGTCCTGTATTCCACGGCATAATTGTCACAGATTTTATGCCAAATTTTTTGGCAGAAAGGTGGAGTCTGACCCTTATGTGAAGCTTTTTTAAAAAATGTGCAGGCATTAATTTAAAATCATTTATTATTAAACTGTCTTTGGTGCAAGATTAGGATGCACGGAATACTCGAAAATATACATTAAAATTGAATATTGACAATACAAGTGCACTGAGAATTCTAGGGTGGCTCACAATGTGCCAGGGACAAATGTGTATCCATATGCTCCTGGTGAATAAATTGTCACTCTGTTTACCTTTAAGCAGCGTAAGGAGCAGAATTATACCATGTGATGATAACCCGATGAAAGGTCATAAACCAATTTTTGGACTGAAAAACACACACACACACACACACACACACACACACACACAGAGTGCAACGATTATGCAGTAGCAACAATTATGTAGTAAAATACAGTACTTAAATGCCCCCTATGTGCCAGGCGCTGTGTTGGGTGTTAGGGATTCAAGTACAAAAGATGAAATAATCCTAATTCCTAAGAAGTTTATAATATTCAAAGCTATAGGTCACCTAGTCCAACCCCCTTCTTTTACAGACGTGGAAACTGAGGTCCAGAGATAGTATATGAATGGTCCAGAGTAATAGCAGTACAATACAGTCAAGATTCCAACCCAGGTCCATACTTGGATTCCAGAGCCAATGTCACCAGTGAGCACAGAGGGTAAGAGCACCAGGGCAACATCTGGACCTGAAGTTTGACTCCAGCTTCATTGGTTTTTCAGCTATGTGACCATGAGGCAAGTCATTTAACCTCTCTGTGCCTCAGTTTCCTCATCTGTAAAACAGGGATAAGAATAACACCTACCTCCTTGGGGTGCCATCAAATGAGAGAATGTTTGTAAAGCACTCTGTAAACCTTAACTGTAGGTATGCTTAGCTATGACTACTGTTGCTCTTTCCACTACTGCAACGCGTTCTATGGGTAGGCTTACTATCCTTTTTTTTGCTAAGAGTTCCAAGTCTCCCTACTCCCTACACCATCCATCCCAACAACATTCTGTTTGGGCCCTAGGCAAAATGGTTGTGAGTGCCAGCCACTTCCTTTTTTAACTCACTCTCCCCCCTCCCCTACTTCCTAGCTTCCTAGCTGCCCTCAGGCTGTCCAAACAGAAGCCTACCTAAGCCCTCCCTCTCTGGAAGTGCCCACTTTCACCAAATTAGCAAACCCTTCTCTTCCCAATTCTGACACACTTCACTTATAGGTATTAGTGGGAAAGTAATTCATATTTTACTGTGAATGACTGATAGACTAAAGAATATATACCCCCGGGGCAGCTAGGTGCCACAGTGGATAGGCCACTGGCCCTGGATTCAGGAAGACCTGAGTTCAAATCCGGCCTCAGACACATAACACTTACTAACTGTGTGACTCCAGGCAAGTTACTTAACCCCATTGCCTAGCCAAAAAAAAAGAAAAAAAGGATAAATACCCCTCCAGAGCAGAGGTATTTTAAATGAGGTGTTTGTAACTAGATTCATGCCAAGTAAATGTTTTGCTGAGTACCACTAAATGAGCTGAGGAGTATTTCAGGCTTTTTATTTATTGTATTAACTTTTTTTTCAATCAATAAAAATCAATTTTCTCTCCCTCTTGCTTTCTCCCACCCCCATTGGAAAAGGAAAAAGAAAAAACAAAACCCTTGTGACAAATAATGCATAGTCAAGCAAAACAAATTCTGGCATTGGCCATGCCCCCAAAAATGTCTCATTTTGCATCCTGGGGTCCTTTACTTCTTTGTCAGGGTATGGGTAGCATGTTTCATCATTAGACCTCTGGAATCATGGTTAGTGATTGCATTGATTAGAATTAAGTCTTTGAAAGTTGCTTAACTTCACAATGTTGTTGTTACTGTGTTCTCCTAGTTCTGCTCTGGATCAGTTCCTACAAGTCTTCCAGGTTTCTCTGAACCTATTCCTTCATCATTTCTTAGAGCACAATAATATTCCATTACATTCATATACCATAATTTGCTCAACCATTCCCCAATTGATGGACATTCCCCTCAGTTTCCCTTTTGCCACCACAAAAAGAACACACACAAGTGTGTATATATCTGTACGTGTGTGTGTATATACACATATGTATAGACATATATATGTATATAAACATATACATCTGAGAGAGAGAGGGAGATCATACATGCATACATGTGTCCTTTTCCTCTTTGATTTCTTTGGGGTAAAGGCCTACCAGTGGCATTGCTATTTTAGAAGTTCGGTAACTTTTGAGGAATAGTTGTAAATTGCCTCCCAGAACAGCTGGACCAATTAACAGCTAGAGAAAGTATATTTCAATTTGATTGAACTTAAATGCCGAAAAACCCCATTATAACTGCAACAACTATGAGCAGTGAAAATCAACATTCTACCACCTGTCCTACCCCCATACATAACAATAAATTACAACTAACCTCAGATATGTGAAAAGTATCTGAGCTGAGGTTTGAACTCCTAATTTCAAATCGAAGTACTCCACTCACTGCTCTGTTTCTTCAAAATCTTTTCATTCTTTCTCAAACTTCCCACAGCTCCCCTCCTCCACTCTTTCAGCTGAGAACCTTCTTGCTTCATATTTTATTGAAAAAATTAAGATCACTGGGGCAGCTGGGTGGCACAGTGGATAGAGCTCCGGCCTTGGAGTCAGGAGGACCTCAGTTTAAATCTGATCTCAGATACTTAACCCTTACTAGCTGTGTGACCCTGGGCAAGTCACTTAACCCCAATTGCCTCACCAAAAAATAATCAAGACCATTCCCAGAAAGTTCCCTTTTCTCCTTTCCTCTTCATCTCACATCACCCAGATGCTTTCTGCCACCATCTCCTCCTCCTCTGTCTCAAATGAATAGATAGCCTTTCTCCATGCTAAGGCAAGACCTTCTGCATGCACAAATGATCCCATTCCACCCCATCTTCTCCAGGAGGTTATCCCTTCTACCATTACTACTCTTTCACTTTTCTTCAATCTCTGGCTGCTTCCCAGCTGCCTATAAACATGTCCATGTCTCCCCAACTCTGAAAAAACCCTCCTTGATCCGTCTGCCCCAGCTAGCTCTCATTCCATACCTCTCCTCCCTTCAGTGGCTAAACTCCTTGAAAAGGTTGACTACAGTAGGTGTCTCCATTCTTTTCCTCTCTTTCTGCTCAACTTTCTACAATCCAATTTCTGATTCAACCAAAACTTCTTTCTACAAAGTTACTAATGATCGCTTAGTTGCCAAATCTACTGGGCTTTTTTCAGTCCTCATCCTTCTTGTCCTCTCTGCTTCATTTGACACTATTGATCACTCTCTTCTCCTTGATACTCTCTCCTCTCTAGGTTTTTGGGATATCACTCTCTTTTAGTTCTCTGCCTACCTATCTGACTGCTCCTTCTTAGTCTTCCTTATTTGATCTTTGTCCAGGTCAGGACCAATAACTGATGGGGTTGGGATCTGGACCCCAGAAAAGAAAAACCCTGGACTTTCCCACACAGCCAGATCTCTGGCATTAGCCTGAGGCTATAATCCCATCAACTGGCCTTTCTTGGTGGCTACCTTAATCTCCCAGTTCTCTGTTACTCTTAACTTAGTTTAGCCCTCCTTCCTCTTACCTCCCTATGGCCCCAGGTCACTTCCTACCCTTAATCCTATTTAGGCTTCATTCTCCCTTGGCCCCCCGGGGCCCAGGTCCGAGGAGTTCTATTACCTCATAAACTACTTGGCCACTCCTAGATCCCTCCTACAAACTTTCTGTATATAAGGTCCCTCTTGTCTCCATTAAGGTGCTCAGATTCTTAAAATCTAGCCACTACTCAGATTTTTACCATCTAGTGGATAGCTCACTAATGTTCAGACTGCTTAAGAGTCTGCCCAATATGACAGATGTTCTAGTAAACCTTGTCTTTGGCTAAAAGAAGGCATGGGTCGAATTCTTTCAGGCAGGACCCACGTGTTGTGATTTTGGGATCCCAGCACCACTAAACCTCAACATAACCATGAGTTATGTCCCAAAGGACAGGGCTCTGTCCTGGGCCCTCTTCTTTTCTCCCCCTATTCTACTTCAGTTGGTGATCTTATCAGCTCCCATGGATTCAATTATCATCTCTACCCTAGATGATTCTCAGATCTACTTATCCAGCCCTAACTTCTCTGCTGACCTCCAGTCTCATATTTCCAACTGCCAAATGAACATCTTGGACTGGATGTCCTATAAACATCTTAAATTCAACATGTCCAAAATTAAATTCATTATCTTTCCCTTAAAACCCTCCCCACTTCCCTATTATTGTTGAGAGTACCAACATCCTCCCAATCACCTAGTCTAGGTGTCATTTTCTAGTCCTCAATGTCACACCTCCCCACCACCCATCCTTAAACGAATCTGTTGCCAAGGCTATTAATTTTCCCTTTTTCATATTTCTTGCATACATGCCCTTCTCTCCTCTGATAGTGCCATTACTCTGGTACAGGCCCTTACCTCACACTTGGACTATTGCAAAAGCCTACTGGTTAGTCTCTCTACCTGTTAACTCCCCACTCCATTGCATTGTCCACTGAGCTATTAAAGTGATCTTATTATGTCTGATCATGTTACCCCTCTGCTCAGTCAGTTCCAGTGGTTCCCCATCACCTCCAGGATCAAATATAAAATTTTCCGTTTGGTGTTCAAAGCCCTTCACAACCTCCTCCCCCCCAACTTTCCAATCTTCTTATAGTTTACATCCCCCCATATGCTCTAGAACCCAGTGACACAGTC